GGAGACAGTTTAATTTTTGGAGGAGTCTAGAAAGCAATCTTTTTGCAAAAAAATCGAAAGAATAATTAGAAGGAGGACCTAGAATCAGGAATCTACTAAATTAAATTTCTTTATGACAGCGTCAAAACCCTGCACCCCTGAAGAGTAAAGGAGTTTTCGGCATAAAAAGAAAGTTAATATTTTTTCACATTAACAATATTCGCTAGATCTTTTACCATTTGACTTGTTTCTATTTCCAAATTTGAAAAACCTACTTTCAGAAAGAAAAAAAACAAGTCCAGGAAATCATTGGATCTACTATTTTTCAGTATACTAAGGGTCATACCCAAAAATGTGTTCTATATACAATCAGAAATTAAATAAAAACTTTAACTGACATCCATTTTAATCAAAAGAGATTAATACGATGGCCGTTCAAAAATTACGCGGACTGTGCTATTATTTACTCTTACAGACGTCATATTGTTAAAAAAATTTCACAGAAATATGTATCTTAAAGATTCCAATAAATTTTGGGCAAAATCTCTGTATTTTAAAAAAAATCTACTAAAATTATCGGTATGTTGATATCGTTGATGGAGAGGTAGTCGGTGCACGACAAAAAAATTGAAGCAAAAGCATGCGGATTCAAAAATTGTACTCATTGATTTTCTAAAATTCGCGATATTTCTCAAATGTACCTTTAAATTGTTCTATTATTATTATGTATTTAGATTTCGGACGTAATATTTGAAGTACTAACAGAAATTATATAGTGTTTTTTCTCTGATGCAATTCCCATGAAAACGACTGTGAAAATGGCGTCTCCTGAATTGACGGCGCACAACACTTTTGTTAAAATATGTGTAATGCTCGAGATATCGGCAACATAGATCCAAAATATGCATAATAAAACATGTAGTAAAATAGGCTACTCGTGACATTCGCCCACATTAAGCAAATTGAAATTTTAGACAGACCTCTGTAAAAAGCTTAAGGCTATACGGGAGGACGGGAAGAAGATTATAGACGAAAAGTTAACTTTATTCGGACTGTAAAGAACGTGATTGAGAGTCACCAATATCACACTATATCTCATAAGTAGTTTTAGGTTTTAAAACAAAAAAAGGAATATTCTTTATTTGTTAAATAGATTTTAAGCTTGACAAGAAAATGTGTTTTGATGTTGAGTAGATAAGGTAACTCAAACTATACAGGTACTCAAAGGAAAATTTTGAGAAAATGAAAGCTCAATCACATATTTTTATAATGCTTGTGACGTCGAAGATTTTGCTGTGCCGTGACTTAATGGTATGTCCTGAAAAATCACTCAAAATTAATACCAACTTACAACATTTTGATATGAAATTTTGAAGACCATATGAGTAAAGATTCTTTTATATTATTTGTGAAATTTTGCCCGATTAAGTCGTCAAATATTTCTTCTGTGCAACAAGTCTGCGTAATTTTTGAACGGCCCTCGTAAGTAAAATCATGAAGACTTGATCATTCAAAAGCGTCTTTTGCTTCTTTCCAAGCCCCGATGACATTACTTTTTGAACTTCCCTCGTACATGGATGGACAGGTTTACAAACAATAACAGTCATTATACCTGCAAAAGGCGAAGAACAAAAATTTGGGCAAACAGCAAGCCTTTTAACAGGTCGAGACCACTAGATTTTCTGACGTCAGAATAAATTTGCATGTAAATTAGCTAATATGTTTACTTTACCTACTGATGAATGAGCCGCAATGCATTGTGGGCTACTACAAGTACCTAGCTGTGTTGAAAATTAAAGGCAACTTGAATTGTCCCTTGGAAACTTATTTTCAATTCTTTTTTAAAATTTTTGAAAGAAATATTTAAAATGATGTTTAATCTTTCATTTTTATGCTCACATTTACAAATTTTGCTTTATGAAGCCTTATATCAACTCATAATACATCAGCCTAGTATACCATTGTACCAAGAGACGTATAAGTGCTATCGTGTCGATAAATCATTGAGTTTTTTTTTTCACGTGATACATGTATATGTGTACATAGCTTTCGCAGGTAGTCTATAGGTCCTTGTTTTTAGACAGCAGGAAAAAGTGTGCAATTATTATTTAACCCCTCAATATTATCAGAAAGTATTTTATGTATATGCAAAAGTCAAAGCGTTTGAACGATATTCGAAGCAACTGTTAATCAACTAAAACAACTCCAATATTAAATGTGAGCATGGAGCAGTGTCTTCAGAATATAATCTTTCAATTTCGGTCTAATAAAGTTATAAAGAAGCTTTATAATTTTTCCGGTGACGAGTTAAATTTTGTGCAGTAAACCTGCGAAAAACCATGTGTAGCCATTGAATCGTAAACACGTGGTAGACTGTTATGCTTTGGGAATCTTTCACTTGATTGGAGAACGGGCGTGACGAAGACATCGTCACGTGTTGAAAATTCCCTTCCATATAAGGTAGTGGTCTCGACCTGTTTAAATATTAAATCCACTGAGGATGCCAAGCTGAAATAGTCACTGCTCTTTCAAATCAATTAGATCTGGGACAAAAATCAATATTGAGAACAAAATTGTGTATCATAAACTAAGAGGTGAATAAAATCATTATATGAAGGTAAGGCGTATGGACATTGTAAGGAAGATCGAGAGAATTAAGTACGATTTCGTATACTGAGTATGAGGGAAATGTATCGTTTTCTCTCATACTCATAAGGGAATTACCTCCTATTTTAAATTATAGATCCGTCTGAAGCATGGAGTCTGCTTTTTTGCAAGGTAAAAGTGGTAGGCGATAAACAAAACATGCCAGTCAATCAGAAACGCACTAATTAATAGTAATTATTTCAGAAATGTTAAACCTTTACAAATAAACTGGATTTTTATCTAATACTGATTTAACAGATGCATATATAGCAGGACCTATGAAAAAAATGCTCTAAAAATATCACTTCTATGTTTTTGAAAAATAAATGATACACTGACTGAAAAATGAGTCGTTCGCAAATCCTGTGCATAAGAAGATTCAGATAACTATAATATGGATTAAGTGAATAATTTCTCCTTTATTTCTTAAGAAAACTATTGCCATTATTCAGTAAGTTCATGAACAGCACTAGTCATATCACCTGTACAGATTTCTTGATCAGTGGCTGTTCCATCTATGAAACATACACTTACCTACATATCAATAATACAATAATCAATCCTTTTGATATTACTTTAAATAATTATTTATACGGATATAAATATAAATAATGAAATGTATTTCTTTGGTTGTTAGTACGGAAATGAACGTAGAAGGTAATGCAGAAAAAATACATTGTTTTTTTTATTTCTGCAACAGCTGCCGGAAAAGGGGGGTTTGGTAAAGTGCAGAAGCAATAAGCTAATAAGCGTAGAGGAAATATATATTTTTTAAAGTTTTTGGAGTTGTTCATTTTAATACAACGTCAATCATAGATAGAGGATTGAATTTTACTAAGGGTCATACCCAAAAATGTGTTCTAAATACAATCAGAAATTAAATAAAAACTTTAACGGACATCTATTTTAATCAAAAGAGATTAATAAGTAAAATCATGAAGACTTGATCATTCAAAAGCGTCTTTTGCTTCTTTCCGAGCCCCGATGACATTATTTTTTGAACGTCCCTCGTATATAGATGGACAGGTTTACACACAATAACAGTCATTATATCTGCAAAAGGTGAAGAACAAAAATTTGGGCAAACAACAAGCCTTTTAAATATTAAATGCACTGAGGATGCCAAGCTGAAATAGTCACTGCTCTTTCAAATCAATTAGATCTGGGACAAAAATCAATATTGAGAACAAAATTGTGTATTTTAAACTAAGAGGTGGATAAAATCATTATATGAAGGTAAGGCGTATGGACATTGTAAGGAAGATCGAGAGAATTAAGTACGATTTCGTATACTGAGTATGAGGGAAATGTATCGTTTTCCCTCATACTCATAAGGGAATTACCTCCTATTTTAAATTATAGATCCGTCTGAAGCATGGAGTCTGCTTTTTTGCAAGGTAAAAGTGGTAGGCGATAAACAAAACATGCCAGCCAATCAGAAACGCACTAATTAATAGTAATTATTTCAGAAATGTTAAACCTTTACAAATAAACTGGATTTTTATCTAATACTAATTTAACAGATGCATATATAGCAGGACCTATGAAAAAAATGCTCTAAAAATATCACTTCTATGTTTTTGAAAAATAAATGATACACTGACTGAAAAATGAGTCGTTCGCAAATCCTGTGCATAAGAAGATTCAGATAACTATAATATGGATTAAGTGAATAATTTCTCCTTTATTTCTTAAGAAAACTATTGCCATCATTCAGTAAGTTCATGAACAGCACTAGTCATATCACCTGTACAGATTTCTTGATCAGTGGCTGTTCCATCTATGAAACATACACTGACGTACATGTCAATAATACAATAATCAATCCTTTTGATATTACTTTAGATAATTATTTATACGGATATAAATATAAATAATGAAATGTATTTCTTTGGTTGTTAGTACGAAAATGAATGTAGCAGGTAATGCAGAAAAAATACATTGTTTTTTTTTTTATTTCTGCAACAGCTGCTGAAAAAGGGGGGTCTTGTTAAGTGCAGAAGCAATAAGCTTATAAGCGTAAGGGAAATATATATTTTTTAAAGTTTTTGGAATTGTTTATTTTAATACAACGTCAATCATTGATAGAGGATTGAATTTTAGACTTTCAGTAATCTCTATCGAATGATTTCATATATGAAATTTTTTATTTGTAATTAAATGTCATAATTTTGAATAGCAATCTCTTTGATGTTTTTGCATTTTTGCATTATTTTTGTAATTTAAGAAAAACATATAGTTTACGTACATAATGTATTATTTATGATATATATATCTAGCATATCGTTACCTGTAATCCACCCCAAACTTACTTGCACATAACAGATATTAAAATAGCAATGTTAGATAAGTTTAGACATGATTTAAAGGTAATCTAAATAATCTAAATAAACGTATAGTGCAAGCGATCGATATATAGAAGAGAAAATTCACATTAAATTTGGTGAATGTAAGTACTTGTTAAAGTTTTAGTATGAATGTAGTATGTTGTCAACTAATTCTGTTCCATCCATGCCTAGTATCGTTTTGATCTTTTTTAAACGTCACCTTCAAATAATTGATTTTACTCTTACAGTCATGTATTTTGTAATCAATACTGCCCTCTATAAATACATGGACCGGGCATGTATACACTTGTTAATTTATTTCCTTAATGAAAGGCAATTGAAACAATTCATTCAACTGAAGGTATTTGAAAGGTTTTCATTATATATTTGTAGTGGTGGGGGTTGGTAGAAGGAGTGTAATTTAGTTAACTAGTACTAAGTACTTTCCGGAGTATGTTTTGACAGCCTATCTTATGAAAAGAAAGGGAACAAATGTCCAAGCGTTTATTTTTCTCCTTTGGATTTAATAGAATTCTTCAGAGAACAGAGAAATCATTGACAAAATTGAACTAAAATTATTGTTTTTTATTTTTGCAGCGAGAGAGGGTAGTGAACTGTTTTTCAGCATCTTCTTGACTGATTAGCTTTGTTTGTGATAAACAGGAGGTCAATTAAATTTGAAAAAAAGATAACATGTATGTGTTAATTTAGAAATCTATTTTAGACCCTATATTTAATTAAAACATTTAAACTTTGCGAGGGTTCTTTGTTTTTAGATGTTTTGTTAAAACAATTTGTTTGTTTTTTGTCTTAAAGCAATGCACGTTTGGAAATTCATGTATAACAAATGAACAATAGCAGGAATATCATGTTGCAGATTTTTTGAGGCAGTGTAAATATGACTCTCTTACAAGGCCTGGTGTATGTTGTTCTACATTTAGTCAACGCAAAGGTATATACAATTACTATCTATATAAGTAAAGCTTATATTATACTAAATAGATTTCGTGAAATTTTGATCCGTATTTTTTGAAAAATATAAAAATTACATTGAAATGCTTTTGTTTAGTTAAGTGTAAATGTGTATGAATGTTTGTTTTCTAACAATACAATAAAGTTACTATTTTATGTTTTTATCATTTAGATGATAAATTCTTTGGGATACAATTTTCCCGTTCACTCAACAAACATATGTCCAATGAACGACAAGGCATGGTCTAATGCATCTCTGAGAATGCATTGCAACGACACACATGGGTACCATTGTGTACCTGATAAGAATTTCTCGTCTCTTATAGAGTTTTGTTATCCACTAGGAAGACGTATTCCTTTCCAAAAAGGTTATAACTGATCTTTAAATTTTGATTCAGTGCAATTTTTATGACAAAACCGCGCTTTAAAACAATGCAAATGATGTGTAAATTTTTATCATCTTTAGGGAATTGTTTGGAACTCGCCTATACTGGAATTCTTAACCACGTCAAATGTGGTCATTTCAGTTACGGTTGTCCAGATAAGGATTATTTCAGCAATGAAATTTATCAATGTAAGTGGTCAAAGTACAAAGAACTTTTGAATGGAAATATATATTTAAGATAATTTATGGTATAGCTGACGTATCTAATCAATATTTCCCTACAGATCCCGCATGTCTGAGGGTTGCTGATAGTTGTTTTGCAGCAGATCTTAGTTGCTTAAAAACACAATACTTCAAGCCGTGAGTATCAGAAATGTCCATGAAATATGAAAAAAATGAACAGTATTTGACCTCAAAAGTCCTTCTAAACATTACAAATTAAAAGCAGTGCAAATAGAGACCAGGAAAACATCAAAGATGGGATCAGGTACCATAGAGGAATGAGAATTACCAGTCACGCACGCCGTGTGTTCCTTGTGTTGATAAAAAAATGGACGCGAAAAAACTCACATGGTTAAGGTTCTAAATATTGGCCTCACAACTTTAAGTAAAACTTCAGCTAGCAATTGACTAAATGATACACTGTATATACGTATACAAGACAAGATCATTGTATTGACAATAACATGTGCAATATGAGGAGACTGTTGATATCCTTGTTTTATCAACATGTTTGGGAATAGCTTGCCTCGTTTTAGAAACTCTTTGTACTAGATTTTGCTTGTCAAATCAAATGAATCAACTGAAAGACAATACCGCCATTTGCAGATGATAAAAGTAATTTTCTATTTATTAAGTAAACAAAATTGATAGTTAAGAAGTTAAAGTCACCAGTTTTTCCCAAAGCTTTGTTGTGAGTTACCAGAGAACGTCTTTTTCTCGTAAAATACCCAAATATGAAACACGTTTCAGACTGTGAAATGCTTATTTTATGGACTAATATTAAATTCGATTTTGTTTGTATTCTAGTCTCTGAATGGTTAATATCCAAAAAGGAACACAAATTATATATGTATGACCTTGTTTGGTTTTGGGATACACCCCTGACAACCAGCTGAATAACCTTTATCCATGCAATCCCCTCATTTCAGACCTGGGATTAATTAAAATTTCAATATTTAATAAATGTATGGTTACTCGATTTTACCACATGTAACAATAAACATGACTGCTAGGCCTACATCTAACATTTTGAAAGAAACATAATAGCAAGACGGGATCACTTTTAACTCTCCACCAATCCAGTCCACCACTCTCAAAATGGTATAACTTTTTGTTTTTGCTGTATTTTAAGATGTGAGAAAGCAAACTGTACATGTCCAGTAAAGCAGTCAATCAAAGGAGGAAACACCTTTACAGCTTTAGTTGTTACAATTGCCTTATTGTCTGTTTTTGTTTTGGTGAGGATTTTGGTTCCTCTATTCATCAAGTGTCTGAAGATTTATAAAAAGAGTAAGTTTGACTTATCGCCTTACTTTTTACCGAGATTTGTAGCTTTGTTGCAAAGAATGAATAATGCGTAAAGTACCAATTAACTAAAAAACTAATTAGGAAAAATGCTACTCTTTTACAGAACGACCTGTTCAGGAGCAAGATACAGCTACGATTGGCCTAATAGGTAAATTTATATGTCTGTCATATTTGAATAGGATCTTTACAAACATTATGAAACATGAAATTCATGGAAAAAGTCCCATTCTGATACTTTATGTTTATTTATGAGAAAACAAAATTAGAAATTCATTAAAGGCAAATTTACGGTGAAAAGCATTATTGCAAAATGTACGTGCTTAAATTGCAAACAGTAAATCGTATAATCCAAGACCTCGTTCTTGTGTCAATACTCTTAATTCTGAAGAAAAATAATTTCTTGGCCACATTACCTGACCTTTGCCCTTTTTCTTTAAAATTACTAGTATTTTATAATGGTAATACACTATACATTATTTTCCTATTTCATTTCATGTCACTTAGTGAGAAGAAGGTTTGGTTTTAGCTTAATTGTGCCCTAAAAATGTTATGTTATCAAAACGTTTTGAAACTGACTTAAATATCAATTACGTATATGACTGTGATAAAGTAGAAAGAATATGGCACTGCCATTTCTGCCAATTTGATGTCATTAAAGTGATGCATTTTTGTATATTTAACAGGAAAAGCCTCAAATTAGCCAATTTCAAGGTTAATTTTCCTTTAGAAAGTAGTGTACACAGCCATCGCCCACTTTGATTTTTGATATGCTGTGCAAAAACAACATAAAATCATATATCTCAAAATATCTTTGTGGGCGATGCCTGTGGACAATATTTTCTGCAACTTTTGAAGAAAATACGGGAAAATGCCCATGTTTATGACGTCACAATTACCATTTAAAAACACCTTGGAGAAAAATTATTTGTATGATTTTTCTGCATGGAATTTCAATGATTCAGAAAGCATTAATTTTTTATCTTTTACACCAGTTTCATTTTTTAGAAAATCACAGGGCAAAATCTGTATAGAAACCATACCTTGTTCTTTGAAATGTTAGTTAATAATCATTTCTGAATAATTATATAAAAAAAAAGTGGTGACAACAAACAGCTGGTGAATAAATAGATTTTAGGAATTGAAAATACGGGTCCAGTTGCAGTATTTATGTTACTAAATGAAGTTTAAATAATGTTTTACCAAATTTTTACATGCTATATGAGCATAATTTGTCAGACAAAATCAAAACAAGTAAAATTATAGCCACTTTTAGCCAATAAAGCATATGCATATGAGTTTAAAAAAATTCTGTACAGCAAATAATTTGCATAAAAGTACTTTAAAAACTATTCTTTCTCTACTTTCTATGCTTGTAGAAAACAATATTGAAGAAATTGAAAGTCCCATCAATGACGATGTGTCTGAAAGACCAGAGGGTAAGTAAAAAAGGCCCATAAAATTCTTAAAAAAAAGATACGTTCAATTTAAATGATTTACTATTAATATCTAATTAAACTCATGAAAATGTTAAAATGCCATTAGTTAAAACAAAAAGTTTATCTTTACAAAAATCGAAAATCAGTACACGTCATTCAAAAAGGAATAAACATAGATCATCGGAAATTCAGGAGGTGGGATCGGTCGCGTAAAAGGAGTAAACATCTTCAGTTGACCGCTAACATCCGGCGTAAGCCGAGGTTATTGATCAAATAGATAAAATACACGTATTTTAGAATCAAATTTATTTAAAAATCAAGGGTCCTTAAAGGGTTTCTTTTAATTTTATGTATAGGCTATAATTACTAACAATTTTATAATAACGACTATAAATTTTACGAAATTCTGACAATAAAACAATTTTGAGATCCCAAAAATATCAACTGCCAATAGAGGATCTCAGTTGTAAATACTGATCGTTCTCGAAGCATTTTAGGACAAGAGACGCAGTAAATAATATAGTTATAGACGTAAACACAACATCCTGTTCGATGATAGAAAATCTTAAGTTATTTCGTTTGTCATTAAATTTCGTTGTCAATTAACCCTTGTCGTCTGTCGGTAAAACATTCAAATATGAAACACATATATGACAGACTCTCTAATGTCTTTTATTTCGAATAAACTGTTAATTGATAAAGTTAACCCGATACATATGAATACAAAGTCACGGCAGTCACAAAGTTTCAATATTAATAATCAATCAATTAATTTACAGTCCAAGAACGGCTATTTGAACTGTTTAAGTGTTTATATGGTTGGGACTAATGGTAGTGAATGTTTTCCTGTTATTGTTCTTTTTCTTTTTTCTCGGAATTTCCCTAATCTATAAGGCCTTACAAAGAAAGCGAAAGCCAAGAAACAAGCACATCTTGTCAATCACCAACTTGTAATTCAAATGGATACTCTAAATCTGTTTTGAGTATTCCATAAAAACCCGGTGTAAAGACGAACAATGACCCCCATCAAATAATGACCGGGGGTCATTTTTTAATGAAAAAAAATGACCCCCTACCCGTAGAAAAAAATCATTTTTTGTAGAAAAAGTGTCATAGGGGTCATTATTTTATATGTTAGTCCTATAAAAAATTGACCCCCATTGAAATATGACCCCCTTTAAAGTGAAAAGAGATTCTTTAATTGTCAAGTAATAAAAGTTCTTTTTAATTTCCTCCTTATAGTGTTTTGCTTAAAGAATAATATTCCACTTGTTTTTAGAAATCAAACCATGCAACAATCAGGTTCCAATACTCTTTGATAGAAAAATTAATGTTTCCTTCATTTCAAGTTTTAGTTTGTATACGTTTGGCAAATCCTCTTTGACAATGAAAAAGGAGGAACTTTTTATCCCCCCCCCAAATTAAATCAAACCAAAAAATAAAAATAAATGAAAAGCAAAAGTATAAATAAAACTCTATACCTTTCAATAATACTGAAAGAGGCTCTAGATAAAATATTGTTATGTTCTTATTCGTTTCCACTCAAACGAACATAAATAATTTATAAAATAAATAACAACGCGTATTTAGATACAGAAGCGCTCTCGTAAGTGCAGTTTAATTACTAGTACACATAATGTACAAACACAACTTTACTCCTCTGCAACTCTTAAATTTACAAAACAAAAACGTATAATTAATAAAAAACCAAAATATTTGTGAGGGCGGGTGGGCGGGTGAATGTCTAACTGCACTGTTTGAGAGAGAGCCTTCGAATGGCGCTAAACTTTAACTCAAGGTAAAGCGTGCGTGCTTGATTAGAACACCTGTAGGTCAGGTATTCTAAAAATATATTAACCAATCCGATCGATTATCTATTTTAAACAACACTAGGTAAACACGTGTACGATAGATACACGTGTTGTGATACCTTCAATAAATACATTTATGTTCTTATTCGTTTCCACTCAAACGAACATAAATAATTTATAAAATAAATAACATCACGTATTTCGATACAGAAGCGCTCTCGTAAGTGCAGTTTCGACAATAAAGAAAGAGAAAAGAAAATTATAAACCCAAGTTTTTTGTAACAGAAAGTTTTGATTGTAAATTTTCGTGTACATAACCGTCCTTTGCATTATCCGATTTCCACATCCCATGTTTCTTAAAAAGACGATCACTGACCCCTGTTGCAGCTGCAGCAGTAGCACCACCCGACCTCAAACTGTGTACTCCGTATCTTTTAGAATCTAGACCTAAACTGTCTGATGTGTATAAAACTAACTCTCTAACTCTGGTGTATGACAAAGGCTGATTACTTTTCCTTAACTTGTAGGAGTTATTTGTTTTACAATAAGTAACTTGTCTAAAAATAAACTCCTCTGACGTCTCTGATATACCTGATAAAAGAAGATACCTGAGTAACATTTTAACTGGACAGGTATTAGAGTTCGTGCGTGATATATACAGAGAAGTACCTTGCTTATACACATCTGTTTTACTCTTTGCAATGAACAAATTTAGGTGAAATTGATAAAAGGTAAGATGTGTCCTTCTAATATTAACAATTTCAGAAAAACGTAAAAAACCCGCATATCCTAAAAGAAAAATACAACAAGTGCGCAGTTCATATAATGATGCATCATTTCTCCCAAATTTTTCAACAACAGCTGACAAAATATCTGCAGAAACCGGTTCTTTTTTTTACAGGTTGACTGTGTTCTCTTATACAAGCTTCTTTTACAAACTTAACTAAGTAAGAGTCACAAGGATTGGATAATCCCGAAAAATGATGGGCCCATGTAATAGCATGAGTAGCCTCCTCTATCTTTGAAGAGGACTTAAAAGTTTTTGCAAGATATGTTAAAAATATTGCTACATGAACATCAGTAGCTGGTAAAGAATTAACAATCGGTGTAAATGTCTTGCACTACTTGGAAAAATTGTTGAAGGCATACCTATATTTCTTTGTTGTATTTTCAGCTTTTGATTTTAGGTAGTAGTTGGGTAAGGACTCGGCGAGTTCCAAGAGTGATGGATCCTGAGCACTGTTGAACAAAGATGTCCACCTACCAACCTTAAATATTTCTGCAAAACGTACAAAATAGATAACAAATTAAAATATTTCAACAATACAATTAAATCAATATTTCGTGTACCAGGGCCAAATCTCTGCAATACACGACTTGTATGACTTCTGTTTGTCTATAAGGAACTCATAAAAACGTTATTTCAACATCTGCAGTACAATATAGTACCAGTACCTCAATTTTCATACAACTTATCCCATCATCTGCAGTACAATTTGTACCAGGGCCTTTTTTTAAACATCTGCAATACCTCTGTACCAGGTTCACTATATGTGCACCAGGGCCATCATCAACTGCAATGCACATATCACAACAATATACTTCTACCATCAAACAGCATAATAACATGTATTTACAAATTATATACATTACAACATACTAGCATCCAGTCTAATTACTAATACTGGAGATAAAAACTTGTTCGAACCAAAAACCGTGTTTTTGTTCTGACCTTGTACATATATTCCAGACACATCTTTGAACTCTAATATATCTGCAACATATTCATAAGTATCAACTTTGTTGAAACTTTGTTGAAGGCCAAAAGGAAGCTGATTTCCACTTAGGTACAATTAATGTCCCTACAGCTTTGCTACTGACGAGATACTTTATAGTTTTTATAACTAAGGAAATAGGCGGAACCAGCCAATTATTTTCTAACGCCCAGTTTTGCGTAAAAGAATCGACAGCTTCTGTCCCTGGGTTCCAGAAAAGTGAATTAAATCTAAACAATTTATTGTTCTTTGCACTAGCAAATCTATCAATAGTATGTGGACCATATAGAGAATCAATAAATTCAAAAAAATCATGAGACACACCCCAATCTTCATAGTCGACAAGTTTACTTAAGTAATCGGCTTTTTGATTTTTGTCTCTAGGGATCCACTAGATATCGATAGAAATGCTATGCTTCCTGCAAAATGAAAATATGTTAAAAGCTATTTCTTGCAATTCTGTCTTCAAACTTCCTGACTGTAAAATATGGACACAGATCTGGTTATCTGTAAACCATTTGACACATTTTTTAAACAACATTTCATCAAATGAAATCAAAGCTAATTCTATTGCCTTCATCTCTCTCCATGTTGAACTATTATTCATTTCAAGATCATTCCACACCTGGTGGAAAAACTGTTCATCTAAGCCCACTGTATATGCCCCAGCGCCTACTGCGCTATTATCTGAATACACCAATGTACTTTCTCGTTGTGTAGTCTTAAGTTTTCTTTCATTATAATTTCGGATATTTTGTAACCAAAATTTTTATTCTTTCATCGTGTTAATAGCAAACTTAAAATGAAGTGTACCGTCCCATGATGTTTTGAAAACAATTTCCATGTAGCAATATCTTGTCATTTAACCTACAATCGTTACCCATAACTGAATGTAATGACATTATTTTCCCCGCAACTCTGGCCAATGCCTAGCCGAAACCTTGGGTAAATCTGAAAGAAATTGAGCAATGTTAGTCTCGATGTCTTGAATTCTTCTTTCTGGAATAGAAATTTCAAAAGCTACTGAATTCCATCTGATAACTAACCATTCCAAATCTTGCACTGGGCTGAAAATCGATTTTCCAACATTGATTAAAAAACCTGCCTCGTTTAAGGATGCCTTGATAAAACTTGAAATTCTCTGACACTCTTCGAATGACTCCGACATGGCTATACCGCCATCTAAATAAAGAACAATCTTTATATTGTTAGTACGCCAATACTTCACCATAGCCCGTAAGCATTTTGTAAATATGTATGGGGCTGTAGACAAACCAAACGGAAGAACTGTAAAACAATAATAATTATCTTTCCACTGAAAACCCAAAAATGTTTGGCATTTCTTACAAATATCTATGTGGTGGTAACCTGATTTCAAGTCAAACTTAATACAGAAGCAATTTTTCTCGAAATATTGCAAAGCCACTTTATAATCTTCAAACTTTACTTTTTCTTTTTTCAAGTATGAATTCAAAACACTTAGATCTAAAATCAAACGCTTCTTTTCTCTGTTTTCTGCGACGCTCAATGGGCTCACTACAAATGGTCTGAATGGTACCTGTTTAACACAACCTGTTTGAATCAGATCTTCTATGCTTTCTGAAACAAAGGAAAAATTCTGAAGAGCAGATTTGTTATTCTTCAAATGAATTCTTGGTGGATTAGTTGCAAAAGGAATATTATATCCAGTTTTTATAATTCTCAAAATATCATCAAATGCACCTATCTTTTCCCAGAAATCATAATGATTGTGCAAACTATTTTTCACCCCTTTATAAGACTCATTTGAATCTTGTATTGATAAAACTTGCAATGTTCAATCATTATCTCATTATCAGTTATCTGATCAAACATATCTACAGATAGAATTTACTTATCATCAATTTGACTTAGTATTGGAGCCTGCGCTGCTGGTGTATTGACTATTGAGGGGACATCCTGTTTTCCAATGCCCAGTCTGGAAGCACTTGTAGCAGACGTCGCTGGGCTGTGGTGTCCGTCTGCTACTGAAGCGAAAGGGCTGCTGAATAAATTTGCTGGTGCCGGGTTGTTGTACTGTGTTTGCCTGTTGCAATGCGAGTGTGGAAAGCTGAGCAGCAGAACCAGCAGCAGCAGAAGGTACGGGCTTGCCATAAGGTTAAAAACGAGGCTTTTTAATTTGTCTGTTGCTTCTGAGGGCCCTGTTCTCCGCGCTCCTTATCTTTTTCTCGTCATCCGAGTCGTCGGCAATATCATTACATTGGTACTCTTGTACTGTCTTCCACCCTGCTGGGGAACCGTCTGCAATTCTGATATACTTTTGCGGTTTTAAGTTTTTCATTGATTCGTTTAACAACTTTGTCATTTATAATTATGAGTAGATAAATCTTTGAGTTTATCAAGTTCCTCTAACAATTCTTCATAAAACAAATACTGAGCCTTGTTTCCTTCGTATTTTAACTTCCCAGCTATGTTATCCTTGAGTTTCTTAGAAAGTTCCTGAGCTGAGGATTTACTGTCTTCCTGAAACTTTTCAGATAATTGTTGAAATTGGGTAGATATAGCTGTAGACAATAATTTGACTGCGTCTGTCAAAGCAAATGAAGTAGACGTGGACTGTGCGTTATCTGGTAACTTAGTAATCTCTCCCGTTGTGTCGTCAGTCATGAGAATATCTTCCTCTTTATCCATGAAGAAAAACTTAGTCTAACTGCACTGTTTGAGAGAGAGCCTTCGAATGGCGCTAAACTTTAACTCAAGATAAAGCGTGCGTACCTGATTAGAATACCTGTAGGACAGGTATTCTAAAAATATATTAACCAATCCGATCGATTATCTATTTTAAACAACACTAGGTAAACACGTGTACGATAGATACACGTGTTGTGATACCTTCAATAAATACATAAATGAAGTTAAGCTTTCACACAAGTTCTATCATATCATAATTACTTCGCCATGGTTAAAGCATACTTTAAATGTTGGTGGGGGTATACTTGAAAGTATTGTGGCAAAGTAACAGTTGAAAATTACTACATGTAGAATAGTAGATTATTTTAAGCTTATTTTTAGTCCCTTCTTATAAAAAAAATGGAGGTAGGGTAGTTTTTTGTTACTTTTGTTGATAATCGACTTCCTCCTAAATAAGTAAGGGGGTTGGGTGGGTATAACACCTAAAAACATGATATGTAAAGCGCTATGGGCTAGTGTAAAATACACATTCTAATGCAAAAACTATACATGTAGACATTACCTTTTGATTTAGCACACACAGTATTCATTACATTTCTTAATGCTTGTTTTACACCACCCTTTTACCCAGTTCTGAGTATATTTTTCAGAGAATTTAATATGAAAATCAGAACAAACGTTTTCATTTTTGTAACGTCTTCTTTATACTGTATCATAATATGAAAAGTTAATTGAAGACCAAAAATTTGGCATTTTTTTTTTGTAAAACTCCAAGGTAAAGGTCAAAAGGTCAAATTTGGTGGTACCCAAAGTAAGGTCTTGTCACAAGGAATATACACATATTGAATATGAAAGGCATAACTACTATAATTGAAAAGTTATGGTCAAGGTTAAAGATTTTGAGGAGAAACAGACCGCCAGATAGACAGACAGACATACAGACGGTCACTTTCAATTTACTTTGGCTATAACTTTTTAACTGTAGATACTAGCACTCTCATACTTTACAAATGTAATCCTTGTTACATTAAACCTTTCTTAAGAAACCATCAACTTTGACCTTTGAGTTTGACCTACTTTTCAAACACTTATCCTTAGCCATTTATTTTGAACAATTGGTGTTAGGGCTTTTCTATTTTGCAATTGTATTTTTTGTGAGAAGACCCTACTTTGTGTACCATCATATTTAAATTGCATTTAAGAGACATCAAGTTAATCCACAGGGAGTCATTTTTCTACGGGGGTCATTTTTCTTCACGGGGGCTCTGCAAATGTTTAGGGTGGTGACACTTTTTCTACGGGCAAAAGGGTCATTTTTCTACGTCGAATAATGCCCGGGGGTCATTTTTCGCCGTTGAATTTTGACCGGGGGTCATTTTTCGCTGTCGAAAAATGACCCCCGGTCATTATCCGATGGAGTCATTATTCGTCTTTACACCGGCTTTTATGGAAAAGGCATTTACACGAATGGCGTGATTTCTTTTATACGGGTATGTTTACAAGCACATTATCAAACAAACATGCGGATTTCAATTTCCATGAGTCATTAACCGGTACAGTAAAACTCGTTTAGTACGAACACGGATATAGCGAATTCACGGATATAGCGAAGTTATTTTGAATCCCCAGCTATATAAATTCAACGAATTCTTTACACGGATAAAGCGAATCACGGATATAGCGAAGTAAATTCATAGGTCCCAGTGACTTCGTCATAACCGAGTTCTACTGTATAACAGTTCAACAGACGTCATATAATTTCATTAAGAAATCAAATACAGTCAGTTCAAGCACGGCTACTAGAACGGCTTTAGTGCTTATAAAGTTGGGTCTAATGGCGCTGAATGTTTGTTTTTTATTCTTCTTTCATTTTTCCCCAGTATTCCCAGAGTTTATAACCGAAGAAAGCAAAAGCCAAGAAACAAACATGTTTGGTAAGACAACATATTTTAATTTCAAATGGATACTCTAAATCTGTTTTGAGTATTTTATAAAATATTTCCATCTCAAATGATATACACCTAGGCTGGGTTTCGCAAAATATTAGTCGTCAGATACATGTAGATCTCAAATCATAATAAGAGACTTATGATAATTATAATATTTGTTACTGCTGTTTCACAAAACTATCTGATGTAAAAGAAATCTTTAGTTAAGTTCAAAGACATTTTTTGCTTCAATGTCAAAAGGAAATTTTAGATTAAAAAAGATGTTTGTACACTGTTTAGTTGTCTTCCTTACATTTTCTTTAAAACATTAAAATAATAGTTTCTCAAATAATAATAGTTATACTGTCAGAAAATACTTTTTATTGCATCAGCATAAATATAATTTAGGTAGGGGTGAACGTGGGGTTAGAATTCCTACGACTGGCGTGATATAGTCCAAAGGATTGCTTTATCTATGAAAATCGTTCTCTGCTAAAAAACATAATTCTGTTTTAAGCCACCGGTTACACTGTTTTAATTTGTCATACAAACTTGTAAAAGTGTATAACAGCATACATATACATTAAAATGTAGCATTCAGTTTCTTTAGGTATTGGAACTCTTCAACTTCAGAGAAAAACAAAACTACGTTGCATATATGTCCTTAAGAAAGGTGTCTAGTCTATCTATCTTAAAATTAAGATGGATCTTATCATAGGATAAGAGAGTTTTGTGAAACAGCTATGGTGCAGAAAATTTTGATCTCAAGAGGTCCTAATCAAAAGACAATTTTGTTAAACGGGTCCCTGACTTTTGTGTCAGAGATATTTCCACAAATATGGTTTGTTTTCTTTGATACTTTATCCTCAAACAAACATAAGGATGTTGTGTTATCATTCGGTTTTTCAGTTCAACAGCTGTCACAAACTTTCAAAAAGTAAAACGTAATCAAATAATATTCCCTGAACGGCTACTAGAACTTCAGTGCTTATATGGTTGGGTCTGTTAGTATTGAATGCTTTCCTGTTATTGCTCTTTCAATTTTTTTCTTTTCTCAGTATTCCCGGAATCTATTACCAAAGAAAGTGAAAGTCAAGAAAAAAGCAAGCCTGGTAAGATTACCGTATAAGTAGAATTAGTAGCGAGGATTTAATTTTGGCATTATTAGCGAGAGTGGTGAGATCGCTAAAATTGAATACTAATTTGTATTTAATAAACTGATATTCCCATTTGAGGAAATATGACAATATGATCCCTATATCATAATGTATCATTCTTTTCGAAAACAAGCGTTTCCTTTTCGATGTCAATGACATTCATATTTGAAAACACGTGATTCCTATTCGCTTATTTTGTCATTCCTATTCGACCACATTTTATCTTTCTTATTCGATATTTATTTGGTTTATATGCAAGCTGTTGTTGGGGTCAATATTCAACAGGTTCAATTTTCAACTTGTTGAAGCCGAAGGCTTAAGTGAGCTTTTCTGATCACATTTTGTCCGTCGTCCGTCCGTCCGTCCGTCTGTCCGTTCGTCTGTACGTCTGTAAATCTTTCACATTACTCTTTATCGAGAACCACTGGGCCAATTAACCAAACTTGGTACAAAGCATTCTTGGGTTGAAGGGAAGGGGAATTTAAATTGTTCAAATGAAGGACCTAGTCCCCTGACAAGGGGAGATAATCCAGAAAAGACAAAAATAGAGTGGGGTCATTTAAAAATCTTCTTCTCAAGAATCAATGGAACAGAATAGCTGAAACTTTATTGGAAGCACCCTTGGGTAGTATAGATTCTAAATTGTTCAAATCATGACCCCCAGGGGTTGCAACTCGGTGGGGCCATAATGGAGAACCCAAGTTTTGCATAGAAATATATAGGAATTTTTCAAAAATTTCTTCTGAAGAACTACCGGGCCAGAGAAGCTAAAGCTTAGGTGGAACCATCCTGGGGTAGTGTAAATTCTAAATTGTTCAAATAATGACCCCCGGGAGTTGGGCGGGGCCACAATAGGGAATGCGAGTTTTACTTATAGAAATACATAGGAAATTCTTTTTAAAAAATCTTCTTCTGAAGAACTACTGGGCCAGAAAAGCTTTCACTTATGTGAAAACATTCTAGGGTATTGTAGATTCCAAATTGTTCAAATCATGACCCCCGGGGGTTGGGCGGGGCCACAATAAGGAATCAAAATTTTACTAAAAATATATAGGAACAATCTTTGAAAATCTTCTGATGAAGAACCACTGGGCCAGGAAAGCTGAAACTTAGGTGGAAGTATCCTGGCATAGTTAAGATTTTGAATTGTTCAACTCATGACCTCCGGTCGTTTGGCTGGGCTACAATAAGGAATCAAATGTTTACCTTGAACATATTTAGGAAAATAAACTTTTAAAAATCTTCTTCTCAAGAACCACTGGGCCAGAAAAGCTGAAACTTGTTTGGAAGCATCTTTAGATTGTCCAGATTATAACCCCTGGGGAAGGTTGGGATCACAATAGGTGTTACAAGGGAAAATCTGGTAAAGAACAGCATGTTCAAAGATTCTCGGGTGAGCGAGGTGGTCCATGAGCCTATTGTGGAAAGAAACATTACAATATTTTTGATTTTGTTTGTATTCTAGCCTCTGATTAGTTAATATCCAAAATGAAACACAAATTATTTCTGTAAAACCTGGTTTGGTATGGGACACGCCCTTTGACAACCAACTTAATCATTCACAATCCCTTCATTCTTGTCCTCGCGATTCATTGAAAATTCTAGATTTAATAAATGTATCTACAATTTGAAACAGTAACACGATATTGCTTCATTTAAACAAACAACATGGCTGCTACTTCTATGCATCAGTGTTTACCTCCCTTTGCTTCTCATCACTTTTCCATAGTTGTATTTTTGAGACAAAATTTTCAGCTCTGCGCCAGCAATTGGTTGCGTCTCCATATAATGAAAAATTCTTGACAGTGACGTTAAACAATATATACATTCAAACAATTTAATCAGCATGAGTTGTCACTAACCGAATTAAATACAACATACGAATAATAGTTGCTAATTATAAAATGACCAATGCAAGTATTTTTTTTAAAAAATCACTAGTTTAGAAAAAAAATAAAATTGATAAGATATAAAATGGTAATAGTATTTTTTCTATTTATCAGATGAAATTTTCAAAATGATTTTAACGGAATTAAACGTAGAGGATGCTGAACTGTTTCGACTTCTTAAAAGACAATGCCTAAATAGTGAGCAATTGGGATTCAATTATCTCATTGACACAAGAGTGAAGGAATTAAGCAGGAAACACATTTTACACCAAAGAGACGAAAATGGGCGTACATTATTGCATTATGCAGCTATTGGCGGATCTATTTGCATACTGGAGTACATAATAAGCAATTATGATGAAAACGATTTCATGGTAAAATGTTGTCAAGGCAGAACAATCTTAGACTACGCTTTGCAATATAATAATGATGAAATGGCTTTTTATATAATTGGAAAACGTAATACAAAACCAGATAAAGAGACCTTAGATTGCAAAGAGCAAAAAGGAGTTTTTCAGGTTTCACGAGTTACATATATGCCAACATTTGAACCTATTCATTTGATTGCAATAAAAGGAAATTTGAAACTTCTAAATGCAGCAATAAAAAGCGGTTATAAAAATGTGTCATCAAAAACAAAAAGTGGGCTTGATATACTTTCTATAGGATGTCTTGCCCATCAAAATCAATTTTGCAAACATGTTATAAAAAACGAAAAAGAACTGTTAACAGCTGAAATAGGTAAATGGAATGTCTGTCATTATGCTGCAATGTCGGGAAATTTGATAGTGTTAAAATTGATAGAAGAAGAGAAAAAAACAATGCTGTCTACTTCTTCAAAATTAGGAAGAATCCCTATGCATGTTGCCTGTGAATTCAAAAGAACTGACATTGTCAAACATTTAATTGAAACCTGCCCAGGAGATTTGCTTTCGAAAGATATTTTTGGTTGGAGTGCTCTACAGTTTGCAGTCAAAGGTGGAGATTTAAATCTCTTTATGCTTCTGATAGACCAAAACCTGGATATAACAACTAGAACAAACGATGGAAAAACATTGCTCCATATTGCATCCATTCACAAACAGTTTGAAATATGTGAATTCTTAGCTAAAACATTTTCTCAAAAACACACTCAACTTCTAAATGAAACTACAAACACGAAGAAGAAGTGGACAGCAGCTCACTACATAGGAGTAGAAGAGAAAGGGGATGGTAGTGAAGAAAAGATACTTGATATTATGAAAAAATATGGAGTGAAACTCTCTGAGACCACGGGCGATGGATTCACAATATTTGATATAGCTATTTATCATTCAAATTCTGGATTAGTACAACATATACTAAAAAATGAGGAATACATAAAAGCAATGGATATAAGTCAGAAAACTTTAAAGGAACATCTTCAAATGGTAAAAAATAAATCTATAAAATCCATTTTAAATGAGGCTTTGCAAAGGTTAGGCTAAATAAGGTCATTAAGTCGGCAAGTAATACAGTTAATTCATATTAATATCATTCTTTCTTTAAGGACATTGGCAAGGTTACTGGTTTTAGCATAGAAATAAATTTTAAAGTACTTTTGAACAAGTTTAGTGGTACATAACATATTTGCTTCTGGTTCGTTTTATTCAACAAACTAACCTTCCTTTTTAGCTTTTGTCGAATCAATGTTTTTTTTTTCTTCTAAATTTTCAATACATTTCCGATTTAAAGAGGCCGAGCCTAATTATTTCTGCCTTGGGATTTTGATAAGTTTTTGACAATTAATTTTTACTGTTATAATTATTGTTTTAAGATTAAAAAATCGAATGTTATCCCCCCGATTTCTTAGAGGACCATCTCAAAAGTTGTCAAATTTTACTATTGGAACCTTTGGGAATTTGTTTGAAAAGCGCCAATTTATCACATTTTCCGCATATTTTTTTGTATTTCTGCCCTAGAGATTTCTTTTTCGTTCAGTACATGAAAGTTATTGTAAAACATCGTCAAATTATAAAAATATAAAAAAAAATTCACCATCTATTTTGATCTAGGACTTAACTAATAAGTTTATTTTTTCAAGCACAATACCTCTAAATTTGCCATATTACGATATAACTACATATCATTGCAGATGAATTATCGGCATATACGATTTTAGTTTTAAAAAAAACAATGTTTGAATTGCTAGTATGCTTCCTTAGATGTTCTGTCATCAGTTTTTAGTATAATATCCATAGACGTCTTGAACATGCCTCGTTCTTCAGAGTCATGCGTTGCTTACAAAATTCAAAAATGGTGACATCGGTAAGACCATTTCAGCGTTTTTCTTAATTATTGACGTAAATTCGCAGTTTCAGACCAGTAGGCGTTATTGATAATGTTAATTTTTAATTAAAATAAAAAAAAATTGGCAAAGTTGTACTGTCGCACAAATAACTGCATGAAATTTAAAAAGCTGCGCAAAGTCATGCACATTCGAATTAGACTCGGCCTCGTTAAAATGTTAATAAAAAGTACCTATATTATTTTTAAGAAATTTTGAATAAAATACTGTAATATGCATGGGGGTTGGACTTTAGAATTTTGCATATTAATCACAGACTGATGGTGGAGTGTTTTTTTTGTGAAGTAAAGTAGCATACAGTTGTAAGTTTATTAGAAATGTTTTATTGTTCATGTTATTTCATTATCTTATTGTTTACTTGAATTATTGATGCAATACAAATTGCACTTCGACATTGATATGTAAACAAATGCTATTTTTGTATTACTAGACGATCTAGGGAGGTCTTGTTGAACAGACAGTAAGGGACAGTGATACTGAGATGTTATATGTCAGTTTTTCATCATTATCTACCACATTACGACTGTAATTTACTTACTTATTTCAGCATTATCACATGTGTTGTAAATTGGGCGCCTGCCATCTTTCTTACGAAGAAATTAGTCATGTGACATAAACATTGTTGTTTTACAATTGATAAGATCGAAATAACACTGTCCGTGTCCTCAAATATTCATAATTGATACTTAAATGTTATTTTATTGCAGTATTGTCATTTAATTATGCTGTATTTGACGAAATGTTTTGGAACTGAATGTGTAGCGTAATACTTATGTGTTTGCATTATTGTTCGGTATTACTACGCCATGGATTGTGTGTGTCCGTTTTGTTACAGATTGTTTGTTGAACTTGTTTTCTAATGTATATCGAATAGAATTTATAGCTCCCACTTTACATGTAGAAAGGACATTTTGAACGATGTTATTTTCTTTGTATTACACAAAATGTATGTAAAGTAGTTCCGAGTTGCTCCAGAAAGGACAATTATTCATTGGTTGTTGTGATCACGTGACCATTTATGGAAGGTTATATATATGAGCAGCGAACGCCAGTTTCATCACGACGATCGTAACGATCAGATCATATTACGTCATCAACATCACTGACTGTAAATTACTAGTGACTTAGGTAAAAGAAAATAATGTAAACCAATACAAATTAAGTAGTGTATAATTTCTCCACCGCACGGACACCGCAATCCACTGTGTTTTATTAGGCCAGAGATGTTAAGCTAGGACTTTATATACTCATAGATGTACTGACTGTTTTGTTATATTTCATTGAACTTTGAAGTCTTTATTAAATGAAATATTTGAAACGAAAAATGGAACTTGGTTATGATTTACAAGGATGTGAAGTAAATTATCAAGGGTGTTTAAATACATGTGACGGGCTGAGGATGCCCCCCCCCCTTTTTATATGTGGACGGATGTCATGAGTAGTCCTGATAAAAATATAATTTTATAATTTATTGAATTTACACGGGATGGAAACATTGTAAGCTGATTGGCATTTGACAGGGTGCTGAGGAAGCTTACAATACATTGATCTTTCCTTATTCCCAATGATATGTATATATTTTGGCTGAGAAATGCCAGTACTGTTCTTTAATTTTGAGTTTCTAATTATCATTCATAAGGATCAAGAGGTTCTATTATGTTTACGTTATTGGAAACAAATGGTCATTGATATATATGCATAGATTTATTAACACTTTTATTCATAGTTATAAAACGGTGTCTACTTCACATGACTTATAGAAGTATATTAACCGGTTACCTAGCTTTTACGACTTTCAGCATACATGTTTGTCACATTTTAGCTCCTCCCAGCATTGCTATGGTAAATGAAAACCTGTTGACTGTCTGTCTCTTTAGTTTACACAATGTACAAAAATTAAAGCCATCACTGCTTTTCCTTCGTGCAGTATAATTGATTCTTTTCGTCGTGTGCTTTTGTTTACCTCTGTAGCATACACTTTATTTATTTCCAATGCCTATAGAATTTCAAACGGGAGATCACCCTCAATGAATGTTTTTATTAGTGAAAAAACTATATATCAAACTTTTTTTTCTCCCGAAACCCTACCTTGCTTCCCAATGGCTTTCAGGTTTCAGTTTTTCAATATTAATGAATATGCAGATAAAAAGTAAAGTCCAGCTTGTATTTTCATTAATGATTGATTTATTAAATGTTTTGAAAGAAAAGAACGCTGGTGCAGCATTACTTAAAAGAATGCTATTTAGAGGATTTAGTGTACACACAGACTATCAATGCTTCTTGCTAAAGTGTAAATGCGCGGGTAAGTTAAGGAAGTATATAAATCATTTCTCGGGAAATTTAGACTTTTTAAAGAAAATTACTTTTGATTATTTACCAAAACCGCTGATAAACGTAAACAATTATTTATTATTGATAAAGATAAAAGAGTAACTAAGGGAAGAACGTCCGCCACCACCACGGCATCACGTGACATCAATTAATAGCGAAAATACCTTATTATAAAAACAGAACAAGCATAGCCCCGGAGTTAAATAATTTCTTTGAGTAAAATATAGTTGAAAAACATCTATTTTGCCTCAAAAGTGCTGCTAGAATCCCTCTGTCCTGTCAGAAAAATATTATTCCACATAATCGCATGAAACCTTATCCGATGTTTTGAATTTTATAAATATGAACCGAGATTTTTCGTAAAACCATGCTTATTCTAGCAGAACTTTCCAAGTATTTTAGAAGGCAAACTTTTCATCTGTTCAAATCTTATGTTTTTAAATATCCAGCTTAACTTACTGTTGTTCTGTTGCATTATATTTTTGTCATGAATGAAAGAAGAAAGGCTGCACGGGATACATATATAGCTGACTGTCTTCAAAAGAGGATATAATCGATGAAAATAAATAAGAATACCTGTTAAATTAACTGAACTCCGTATGAATTTTACACGAAATTCAAAATATATGCATTTAAACTCCATTTTACGTATCATTGTACATGCCGCCTTAGCCAAAATCTCTTTACACAACATGAACTATTGGGTACTTCATGTACATATATGACGTCATCGGTGGTAGATTTTAATCAAAATGACAGATACAGTATAACAAAATAAAGATAATTTATTTTTACTATATTAACATGTCTTTTTATTTTCTATAGTCAAATTACATTTTTAAGGTAAAGATCTATTAAATGAAATATGCCTACAGATCTATCAAATTCGAGAATTAAATTCCTTCAATGATGCTTTACAAATCTAGTTTGGTCAAATAAGGTACTAGTATTTTGGGGCATAACTGGTAAGTAAACAAGATGAAAAAACATATTTTAAACTGTTATTTTCAATGAAATATTAAGAAAACCAGTCGTGAATATGGGATTATTTTTATAATCGACAAAGGAAATTGCCTACATTCTCTCAGAAAACGGTAATTTGTATCTTCATGGCCTCTTCTTTTAAAAAACGTCAAGTTTAATACAGGTATCGGGATTACTTTTCATATGATTTTAAATTGAATGCAATGAAAATACCGTATTTCTATTAAATTCTGCTAAAGCCGTAGAGTACGGGAAAAGGAAAGTTGGAAATTGATTATGACGTCATAATGGATCTAACACCCAGACATTAGTCTAAAGTCATTTACTAGATCTTGACCTTAAATACCAATATTACGAAAACTTTTGTTCTACAATTGTTCTACAATATTACTAAAAGTTTTGTTCTACATCTCGCCTAATATGACGTTTTAATGCATCACTGATTTAGTTATGGTAGAATATTCTGTATGCTTCCTTATTACCCTGCATGTGAAACCAGGGATATTCGTGTATTTGTAGAAAGACATTTTTGATTTTAAAGAAAAAAGAGTTTTGCAATTTTAAAGACATGCCGCATTACACAAGATGAGAAAAGATAGTTTCACGAATTCCGTTCCCAGCTTCATTTCCCTCTCCTGAAGTCAAGTGAACAATTTTCAGCCAACCCTAACAAAAATTTACTATAGTTAACTATAGTTTATAGTTAACTATAGTTTACTATAGTTAACTATAGTGAAAACTTTGACACTTAGATTTACTATGAAACTTTACTCTAAAACTTTTTTGAAGATTTAAAGCCTTAATAAATCTTAGATTACATACTAATTATGTACTTTATTGATAAAATATTTAGAAATACAAGGACAACTTCATTTTGATTTCAGAAAAGTATTTGTAGGAAGTTTAAAAAATAAAATATATCTTTCTGAAATTCATAGTAAAAAGACTTTGATTTACTATAGTTAACCATAGTTAACTATAGTAAACTATGGTAAACTATAGTTAACTACAGTACTTTTTTGTAAGGGCAGTCAGATCAATGCATTTTTGAATTCATTTTAAGTCTCCTCCAATTCTAACATGATGAAAATGCAGTTTTGAAATTTTCAGTAATTTATAACGATTTTCACTTTGAATTTTTATGTTTATGTAATAACTGTAATTTAAACAAATATTATGGAAAATCATCTTATAATGATATTAAAGTGCATGTTTCTCGCTTTTTGTGCTCTTGTATGTTACTGCACAATCACTTGCATGAGCCAAAGCTAGCAATGCCTTCATGCAAAGTAGTAATTGTTAGTAGTTGTTTTTCTCAGATGTCGAAATTGTAAAAGAAAAGCATGATTAAATTGTGTAATTTTAGTGTGACAGAATGTAATCATGATAAAAAAAGAGTTGAAGAAGGCTATAAAATGTTTTGCTTTTTATTCATGATAGCAGTGGACTAGGTAATAAGGAGGTCAGGTAAGAATGGAAAAATAAAATACAATGGAATTGTAAAAATAGATTTGATGAATAAGATTTGCTGATGATGTTGCCTGAATTTTATCAAGGAAACAAAAGTTACAGAAGAATACAAATGTCATTGGAGAAAATGAGACTCAAAGTTAAAGTTTAGAAAACAATACAAGCTAGTGATGAGAATAAATGCCTAAAACGAGAATAAGATATACATTAAATAAGAAAAATACAATACACTAGTTCTTTAAGTATATCATCGAGGGAGTCAATCAGATTCCAGTTTCTTAAGAGCAAGCTTGCTTGCGATCGAGGAGGAAAAGCATTTGGGAAAATATGAAGGTAAAATATTGGATAAAAAAAATAACCTCTGGTTAATGAAAAGTGTGCAAGACGTCTTTGTGTACTGCTAAAGACCCATAACTTTCATTTATAGCGATGGTTACTTGGAACAGTCATAACCTAAGCTTAGCTATGACGTGGGAAGGAAAATTGAATTCATTTATCTCCCGATAACAATTGGCTCTAACTCTCTCTTATTTGAGTCGCTAAAGGAGATGAAAAACAAATAACGGTCTGTTCACGGTAGCACAGTCAGTAGAGCGCTCGCTTCGTGATCGGGAGGAGGTCTTGAGTTCAAATCTCGGCCGCGACTGACCCTAGGCGATAAAAATTTCGCTATGCGCTTGGCACTTTGAAGTGAAGTTGCCGGTCCTTTGGATGAGACCTTAAAAACCGTGGATCCGTGTCAGCAGTAGGCGTTGGCACGATGAAGATCCCTCACTGCTCAATGGCTCTGAGTGCCATGTAAACGTCAAAATTTATAGCCCTTCACCGGCATACGGTGACGTCTCCATACACAATGTATGAGTGAAAAATTCTCGAGAGAGACGTTTAACAATATACAATCAATTAATCAATGAACACATAACGGAACTAGTATTGAAATGAATGTACACATCAGATGAGTTTTATGCAACTAAAAACAAGACCTTGCTCAACAAGCTAAAGGTCCTTTGAGAGAATACAGATGGGAAGCAGATCAAACAGGGGGCTTTAAATGTATCAGGGATGAGATCGGGTGTCACGAAGGAATAAATACGAATCCCT